AAAAGGTAGCAGGCTATAATACTTGTCACGGTTTGAAAACTACACTTGTGCTAAATATCGGCTGATAATCACTTAAAAGAAAAAACACCACCACCATTACTGGAAAAACGTGCAACACTTCTAGAAGAACAGATACCGGAGCTGAGAGAAAAAACACGATCATCAGACGATTCCCAGGAGGTTTATAAACTTGAATAATTCTTCCAAGAGCACAAGAAATGACGACTCTCCAATTCTTAAAGTAAATGGCAGATTGCCATACGGTGAGGAAGCACAAAATGATCACGTTTCCACCTTTGTTTTGCATTCCGAACACTGTAAAGCATATGCCTAAATTTACACTTTAAATTAGTGTTCTGCTGTCAAAGAGGGAGAAAAGCTCGGTTTCATTTACATTTTCTGTAGAAACACTTGGTGCGTCTAACGTCTGAAGCAGTTTGCCTATTGTTTGGTTAAATGGAATTTAGCCAAAACTGTATTTGATCAGAAAATGTTCGCTAAGTGGTGTCCAAGAAAATGCTGATGCATATTAACTACTATTGTTTCTGTTATAGTGTTTCTGCGGAAAGATTTGTGCTTGACCAGAAGCCCACGGGAAATATCGAGTGCTTTTTTGAAGAGGCAGGAGATGAGAAGTAGTTTTGAGCAATTCTTAGAAACTATGGACTTGCTATCATATATATTTTCTCCTCGTATTATTAATAAATTTGGCACTCGGATATCTTAATGAAAATGAGGCTGTTGTGCTATCACTTCTTTCAAAGTTTAGGAACTTCTTCAAACCCAGTCGTTTGGAACAAGGCCGTTTGAGGAAGATTTAAATATTGTCTTTGAAAATGGCAAAATCCTGTCAAAAAATTTTTTCGGTTGTGGCTCATTCTCTGAATAATTGCTTTGTGAATGCTGAGAGATATTCTTAATACAAATAACAGTGAAAGCGAAGCAAAATGCGACTTTAATTCAATCCTCGCCAATAAAGCTGACTTTTTATTATCTGTAATTTTAAATACCATAGATTGAGAAATCTGGCATACAGCTATTGAAAATTAGATAGAGTAATTGTCTAGAAGCTGTCATAAACTGTGGGCTTGATTGCTGTAGAAGTTTTACAGGGTAAATGGTATACAGGGCGTATTACACTGGTCACCGTTACATGTGATATGTAAATTTCTTGCGATAGTTGCATATTTGTTGGCTTGTATACTCTGCTGGGTTTTCTGAAGTACTGGAGATGAGACATTTCTTAGTGATTTTGTGGAATACCTTGTGACTATTGAAACGGTTAGAAGGATAATTATTACGACTTTATTGGTTTGCTGTTTTACTGCATAAAGATAGCAATAACTTTTTTAATTTATGAGGTGTAACCATAATGAACTTTTGTTTGGAATCTCTTGCTACAAAAAAGCGCAGGCCATTCGCAAGAAGGGAATTCTGACATCTTTTTTTTTTTCGACTTCCAGATGTTTCTTTTTTTAACTAGAAAAAATTTTTTTGAATTTCAGAGAAGCGAATGTCTCCCAGTTGTTTCAATTCTTGACTTAAGTGGTTTTACACCACTTTTTTAAACAGTTAAAAGGAAATAATAATTTAAGAAATTAGTGGTTTTAGAGTAAACGGCTATTTTTTAATGTTTTTGTAAGCTTATTACGACCGTAATAACGACTTTTTCGGGCGTTCTGTAACAATGTAGAACTTGATCTTAAAAGTTGTTTTCAGAAAAGTCTTTCCGAAACAATTATGAGAGTGTATTTGCGGATGAACCTGTTACATTACTGTTGCTGGTAACCTGGATTCGCCAATAAGATTCTGTTGCGGCTACCGACAAGAATTCTAGGGCTCATTTGGTTGTCTGTCGTCCCTTTTCGGTCCAGAACCATTCTCTAAATTGACAGAGCGTTTGCGCCACTCCGAAGTGCTCACTTTTCTTATGAGCCTCGATGATAAGCATCCGTGTGAAAGGATGTTTGCTTGGTAAAAATACCGGGGCCTTTTTGTCGTTCCAGTTTGCCGAGACGTTTCATTACCCTCCATAGGCCAGAACTGCCGTTCTTGAGATTGCATTGTCGAATGTCGTTTTCCGTTATCTGGGGCTATGCTTCTTTTAGCAAAATTGTCTCTACTCGTTTTTGAAGAGGAACATCTCCAGCCACTGTTGCAAGGGGTTTTTCCGTTTTTCTTTCAATGGCATCTAGAAACTTTAACACTGAGCAAGCGTACATATGACCATTTTTGACCACTCCTTTGTTCTGCTTGCTTCAAAGAGGGGTTCAGACGCGTGATCTTTTACTGCTAAAGTGACCACAACTTTGGCTCTCTTTGCTTCCATCTCTTCATCGGGTACTTCGCGTGAAGGCCATTCAGATTCATCTTGGCTGATCCAAGGTGGTCCGTTCTACCACCTAGTTGAGTGCACGATTTCTTCTGAGTTCATACCTCTGGTAGCTATGTCTACTAGATTCTGTTCACTTGATACGCATAAAAAATTCAGGCTACTTTTTCGGATTTCTTTTACTCTGTTTCTTTCGAATCGTGGCAGTTTGTCGACATTTTTGGCTGCTAATCATGCAAGCACAAACGTCAAATCTGATCAGGCGTAGCGAGTATACTTCTCAAGCTTCAATTCTTACGTTATAAAGTCTAATGCTTGCTTGCCGATTAGAGCTGCCATTAATTCGGGTCTCGGGATCGTTAATTTCTTCACAGGCATTATGCGCGTTTTGCAAAAGATTATCTTAGTTTTGTTTTTGGTTTTGCATGAATGACTGCGACGTGACTGAATTGGGAAGCGTCGACGAAAGATGAAGCTGCACTGATGATTGCCGACTCACCGCCTGTCATGGAACCGTTATTCGTCCGTTTCTCCAATTTTTCTTCAGCACTTCTAACTTGTTCTTCAGATTTGATAGAATTTAGACATCCCACTGAAGGTTGTCGATTCATAGCGCTTGACAGAATACTTTCCAGGGAATAAATATTGAGGATAATAAGCCCAACAGATCGAAGTGACTGGCAGTAAACTGTGCCAGTTCTTGTTTCATGCCTCCCTCAAATGCTTTCAACTGCGTACGTAGAGTGTCATCTTTTCCGTCCCAGATAAGTCCCAGGAGTGACTGTTTCACCACAGTCTCTTGATCCGATTTCGGTATGACTTCTGGATCGTTCAAAGAGAAGCCTCTTAAATTCATAAATGCAGTCTTGAATATGCTCCTAGCTTCTTTGAATATTTTGTGTTTGCCGTCGACATTTTCTGTACCAATCAGTAGATTATCAACGTACAGATTTTCACGAGTAGGATTAGTTGACCGTGATTTATCTCGCTTGAGGTGATGTTGTATGACGGTTGCGAGAAAGAATAGGCTGCTTACAACTCCGAACGAGACTCCGGCAAATTAAATGTTTTTTTATATCTCTCACAATAATAATCGGTGAGCTTCATGCTCTCAGCAAAATTCCACAGAGCTGTGGTAGGATTATCGGGCCTTGATAGAGCGCTTTGTTTAGACTGGTTCCCAATATCAACTTCGCACTGGCATCAAATACAATTCAAAGTTTGGTTGTTCGTTTCTTCGGCGTGGGAACTGCTTGGTGAGGCAGATAGTGGATCATTATTTCATTGGTTCTTCCAGCAACTTCGATGATCCGTCATTCGAGCTGACCTTTGAAGACTTTATCGTCTTCCTTCAGAAGATTGGTATTTTCGCGCATACGTCTGTTCAGCGACTTTAGACGGCCTAGTTACAAACCAAAGTTATCCGAGAGATTAGGGATCTGTGCGCGCCATGGCCACTTGACACTGTAATGGTCCTTTTCGTTTTTGGTCACCATCTTTCCGAAAAATTCTAGCTTGTTGGTCCTCCTTGCTTTCTTTCTCTGTTATTCCGATTAAGTCTAGCTCACAGAAATGATTGACGTCAAAAATTGTGTACGCAGCGACTTTTTCACTGGGGGACTTGACATTTACGATTGCGCGAGTTGACTTGGTGAAGCGTCGACCACGTCTGTTTTTGATTGGTCATCTAATGCGGAGCTTGTGGGGGTTGCTGTTGACGAGCTGTACTTTCCTGGACTTCATATGTCGGAAATAAGGCGCCAGGATGGTATTTCTTACAGTAGAAACATGGCATGATTTTGGAAGGGGGCCCTGATCGTGAAATTTGCACAGAGTTTCAGGTACTTTCCTCTGTCTATTCGTCCTTCCGTAGTTTCGTACTGATCGCACAGATCACGGTAGTGGATTCCTTTGCAGACGGCACAACTTCTCGGTAACCTGGACTTGCCTTGGTTCCTGTAAAACTGGACAGTCATCGTTGATGACGGCGTTTTTGACCAAGCAGCTGTTAATTTCTTGATTTCTCTATTCGCTTGCATTGAAGACTGACGTGACGCTGACACAGCGTGTGATGTGACTCTAGCAAGGTTATTCAGAATGCTCCTAGCTTAGTACCATTCCCCTGAGGACCTACTACTTTAGCCAAATAGACCTTTTCTCTTGTTGAATATGGGAGCGTTTCCTCCAATAAATTTTCGACAATTGCGTGATTCAGCGTTTCTCCTAGTGCTTCTAATTGTCGGATTATGCATTCCGTATGTTACCGGTTTTGAGGGAATTGAGATTCTCATGCGATAGGCTGGAACAAACGCAACTCTCGCTGCAATTCTGCCCTTTAACGACGGTCATCACCATAGACCTCTTTGAGTTTTTGGACCAGAACAAAGTGATTCTTCGGCCGTGAGACAATACCCACGATGGGGGCATTTGCCTTTTCTGTTAGCAGTTCAACAAATAGTTAAATTAAGCACCGTGGAAACTCTCCTATTGAGATGAAAAGTTTGTTCGTAGATGTTCCAAAAAAGTCGGCCAGTCTCTGAGACGCCCCGTGAATTTCAGTAGTTTGAATTGAGGTAACTGCGCGTAAGTTGACGGATTGCTCAGAGTCGACGGGAGCAGCAACTCGATTGTTTCCCCGTTCATCGGTAGCGCGGTCTGAGGACGTCGTGGGTTGCTGAGCGGAAGGTATGATAGAAGAAACATTTTGCAACAGCGGTGCAGCATCATCGCTTTGAGCACATAGCGATAATGAATGTTACAAAGCTTGCGCCGATTTCTTAGCGCACTGTATGTCAATAAGTGCTTCGCTTTCATCTTCTAGGTCGGTTAGCAACCATGGCCGCGTAGCGCTCATCTGTGTGTACGCCGCTCCTTCTTCATCCTTTTTTCCGCCTTTGGCGTTGCTGATGATTTTCAGCCGAGAGTTTTTGGCTGCAACAAATTGGTTAAGGGCGTTCGTAACTTGCAATTCATAGCGCTCCAGAACCATTAGATAAGTTCGAAATTTGTCAGCAGTCTCGGCTGGTTCGTTAAAAAGAAGCTTCGGTGTTGATAGATCTTTTGGATCTTTTTTTTGTGTAGGGGCAGTCAAAAGAATAATTTTTTTCTTCGTTCTCGTATAGTATGAGCTACCAGTCAGCAACCAAAATAAACGAAGATGAATACAGCGGTAGCGATATAGTAAGGCAGAGCAATAATTTTGTGAGTAGCGGGTTTAGCGATATCTTGTTTCCCGGGATAGGCGAATTTTGCAGATCACTCAAATACAGCTCTTGGTTTAAATTGCCAAGAAGTTAGCCAAAAATACTTCCGTTGTCAGTCAATTCTCGGCGCGCGGCATTATGTAACAAAGAGTAGAAAGGTAAAACTTTTTTATATTTTTGCCTATAAGTTGTGTCGTTGTGACGAACGTTGAATGCGCGATTGCGTGAAAATACCTCAAACTTGGGTAATTAGACCTTTATTACAAAGAAATGGTATAACATATGGACGTAATTATTAGTTATAATACAAAGTAACAAGTATAACAAAATTAACAATCAATAATAGAAATAACAAAGTAAAGGAAATTAAAATAGGTGAAGCTACAGAAGAGGAGGTAAGCCGGCCGGCAATCACAACAACGTATCGCCGTAATATAGCTTCTTGTCTTGTCGATCTGACTGATGTGATCGGTTTTGGTAATCATGCACGTTTTAGCTGATTCGCTGGCGCCATTCGCCGACCACTTCGCATGAGCCTAATCCTTCTAGCATTCGCGTTGGTCGCGACAAGCCATACAAGTCTCTACATTCAATGCTTAATATAATAAGCTGATCAAATATTTTCTTACAATTATGGTT